CCGAGGGCAGTCACGTGTGTTTCCTTGCGTAAGTTACTAGCTGGACCCATCCTTCCCCAGTCAGAACCCCTAGATTCGTACCCGAAACAAGAACTAATTCTCGTTTTATTATGTTTTGCTAACCATCGAACATATTTTGATCTTTGGCCGTTGGAAGCCGGGTAGTTTGATCACGAGACTATAACAATGGTTGTTTTTTAATGTCTTGTTTATATGGTTTATGGCAATCACACATTTTTCAAATTTGTCTTTCACTGACAAATAGGTTTATAATGTTAATGATACCACCAAAAGAGGTAAGACCGTTGAGTCGAGTCAAACCTACTTGTGGCATTGTCGTCTTGGCCAAATTAACATCAAGAAACTTCTTCATGAAGGGATTCTTGATTCATTCGACTTTGAGTCGTTTGAAATCTGCGAAGGATGTTTACCTGGTAAAATGATAAAGCAACCTTTCTCCAAGTTGAGAGAAAGAGCTAGTGACTTATTGGGTCTCACACACACGAATGTATGTGAACTAATGAGCAAAACCGCAAGAAATTGTTAACGCTATTTTATCACCTTCACGAACGACTATAATAGATATGGATATGTCTACCTTATGTCTTACAAATCTAAATCCTTTAAGATATTCAAAGAATTTCAGAGTGAAGTGGAAAATCAACTTGGCAAGAAAATCAAAGCCCTTGACACCTCCTAGAACTCCTTAATGGAAAGGAGTGTCAGAGAGGAGAAATTGAACTCTGTTAGACATGGTTCGATCAATGATGGGTCTTAGCGATCTTCCTATCTCTTTTTGGGGACACACACTTCTAACCGCGGCACTTACACTGAACCGCGCTCCGTCAAAAGCTGTCGAAAAGACTCCATATGAATTATGGACGAAGAAACATCTACAGTTTTCTTTTCTTAAGATTTGGGGCTGCGAAACATATGTCAAAACTCATGTCCGACAAGCTTGCACCAAAATCTGACAAATGTTTCTTTGTGGAATATCCAAAAGAAACAAAGGGGTATTACTTCTACAACCAATTTGAGAACAAAGTATTTCTTACTCGAGATGGTGTCTTTTAGGGAAAGGGGCATCTTTCCAAAATGACAAATGGGAGGAAAATCGAACTTGATGAAGTTCGAGAATATGGGCAACAAAGTCAATGTAACAAAACTGACAATCAAAATGCTTTAGAAGCAGTTGTTGACAATGGTCTAAGTCAACACGACAATGTTTAAAGTCAAAATGACAATGCAAATGCTCAATGTATTACCCTGCCTAGGTCGCAAAGGCCAAAATCTCAACTAGACAGATAACTCGGTGTTGTCTTCTTTGCCTCAAGTGAAACACAACAAGCACGTTGTGGCAATGGGAATCAAAAATATTGGAGATTGGCTTTAATTTCCCAATTTGTGTGTTTTAATTAAGTTGTGGAGATCTTAATGTAAAACACTATGTTAAACCATTCATTTTATAGAGTAATTTAATTTTTCTCCAAATTATTATTCCATTTCTATTTAATTGTGGTTTAGAATTAAATAATGAGTCCATTAGATTTGAGAACATTCAAAATAGGGTATCAAGACCATGTCTTGGATAAAGAAACACCTATTAAGTTAACATTGAATATCATATTAAAATTATCCCTAATCAAGGTATTTTAAAGTTGGACGTCTAATGACCACGTGAGATTAGTGTGTAGTATGATTTACAGCACTGTTTCTTGTGCTACAAGGACAAGATTGTCATAAATCATTTGCACAGGTATCAGTTTGAAACTATACCGGATCGACCTATGAGAATACTTTAAGAGATTTAACAATCGTCATAAGGATATTACTCATTATGGCTATCGGAACCTCTTTCCTTAACCATGAGTATTGTAAGCTCTCTTATTTGAGTACTAGTCCATCATTATGTTTTCAAACGTCTGTCGTACAAGAAGATTATAAAGGCAACACAAGGGCGGCTAGGGCCTCTTAGTAAGGGAAGCTCACAATGCAAGACTGGGAATGTTCCCCTATTAACAGTAGGGAACATGTCTTTGTTGTTTACAAGGCCTCTCGAAAAGCAAGATTGTGAAAATGCATGGTCGTGCTCAGATTAATTTTAGAAATCATCTGTTTATTTAAAGTCTAACTCAAAAATCGAGAAACACTTCTGGACGTAATAAGGATGACGAAGAATCTTACCTTATAGTTCATGAAGAGACAATAAATGGCATAGGAAACATGCTATACACAAATAGTACACTTGTCGGAAGGATAGTGGGTAATTGAAAGGAATGGTGTCCTTCGAACAAGTTTATAATTCCGATAGAGGGTTTGGAATTAATTAGGAAAGCTAATTATTCAGTGAAATCAAGTGATCGGAATGCCTAGCTGGAGGCCGTTTCTGATCAGTAATATTAATGTATAATTAATATTATAGGTTGCCCTTGACTGAACCCTTCGGGTCATACCCAATCGTGTAACCGAACTGAAGCGACGAATTAATCTGAAGGACTAAATGAGTCAATAGAGATTTTACGAACTAAGACATCGGATTCCGAGCTTAGAGCGTCGAGACCGAGCGTCAAAAGTGGAGTCGAATTAATGAGTCAACGAGACGAAAAATTAGTCAAACAACAAGTCAACGCACGTAAAAATCCTAGCCTCGAAATGGCCTACCCAATAGAGGGATAGGTGGGATAGCATGGCTAGCCAAAGCCCTTGCCGCAAGGCAAGGCTCGGCCGCAAGCCCAGCATGCATCGCATGGTCGGGCATGCTGGTCGAGCAAGCCTTACGGGCAACGCAGGCCAACAGGCCTAGCACGCATAGCGCGGCGTCGAGGCCTCAATCCATGCGTGCATAGAACGCCAGTAAGGCCAACAACCAGCCAAGGCTTTCTTTGCGTCGCTGGCAAAGAACAACGCCTAGCAGCAGCCCTCTAGCATGTGCGGCATGCTTGCTGGACCGCGTGCACACGCAAGCCACTGGGCAGGCCTAGATGAGCACTAGGCCGCCAGCTAGGCGTGCCTTGGTGCCCAAGGTCGGGCGCCATCTGGCGCGCTATGGTTGGTGTGGGTGAGAGCCAGCTTTGGAGGGTTTTCTTGGGGAGCAAGGAGAAGGTGATCCTCTCCTTGTGGTCCTCACATACCCCCTTGCTCTCCTTGTGCCACTTGTTGTTTGATGATTGTCTTGCCTTTTTAATTTAATTTATAATTAAATTAAATCATTATTTTGGCATTTTTCTAACTATCCCACATTGAAAGATGATGGGAATTTTTGGGATCATTTCCCTATATATACAAAGGGATCTCCAAAAGCGAGAATACCTTAGTTTGTAAACTCTTAGTTATTTTTGGTCTAGCCCCGTCGAAGCTACGAGGTAAGGGCCGGTTACCGTTCGGTGGGGGAGGGTGTGAACCGTCGGAGGTTTCGCACTTGCGGAGCTTGAACCTTTCAAGTCCGAGCTCATAGAGTGAGCGAAGCACGCGTCTAGGGTGAGTTTTATCTCTCTCTTCTCTCTGTATGTTCGTGTATTTTTTATGTTGTAATTATTATGCATGCGATCCGGTTTTCAGGTTTTGTTTCCGTGCGGTGTCGGACCCCGCAAAACCCAACACAAGGACCAAATAGCACGGAAGACTAAAAGACAAACTAGCTTAATTAATTTTGTTCAATTTTAATGTCTATGATATTTACTAGGTAAAAACGGTCCATTGGCAATCGTTAGTCATAAAATCAACCACAACCAAATACAAAGAACACATGTTAAGGTTAGAACCATAATCACAAAAGACTAGCTAGGAAGAAGGACTAGAATTCTAGAAGATTTAGGACTCATGGGAAAGGATAAAAATACATAAAAAAAATAAATAAATAAAAACTACAATCCTATGTTAAACGAGCTGTCACGGATTAGAAGACTAAGAGAAGTAGAAGATTAGCTCGCTAAGACTAGCTTGAAAGGAAAAGATACAAAAAAAAATTAAAAAAAAGAAGGTTGGATACTAAAAAGACACCTAAACTAGACATGCTGTAGTATATCGGTTATAACATTTGATCTCTGATTCTGATTGGGACGAAATCAATGCCAAATGAAATATAAAACTCGGGGCTACAAATCCATAGGTGGCACGACATGTAACCCTTTCTAGAACACCGGTTATGACCAAAACAAGTTGACTCTTGTGCAGGATACGGGAATAAAAATCCGGGTTGACTAAATATAAAAAATGAAAAATAAAAAAGGGGGTTAGATAAGAAAAAAATAAAATAAAATAAAAATATGCACACATAAGCACATTGTCATGCATGATGAAATGAAGTTCGCAACCTAAAGTCGAGTTCTATGTTCTACTTTGGTCAAGCTTATATGGGTGTCAAAGGGTACAATGGTTAAGAGTTTGGACGTGTTAGTAAGGCAGCCTCCCTTGAGGGTGTATGCCAATGGGCGGCTCTGCAAGTTCATGATGTAATTGAACTCGACTCCATGGTTTGGGTGGATTTAACAACTCGGATGAACCCTTATTGTCATGAACTTTTTCGAATTTATAAAGTTTAAATCCCTCGGGGCTAGCAACATACGTAGAACACGTACTATTGTGGAAAAAAGGTAAGCTAAAATGCATATTCATATATGACAATTCCAATCAAATCGCAAGAATACGATTCGAGAATCTTTCAAGTCTCATCCAATTATCATAAATAAATACCGATCACTCAAATCGATTCGAGAGGCGGTCTCTTGCTAAGCGGTCTCTTTGGCTAAGAGACTGCTTCTATATGGGCAGTCTAAAGTTTCAAAACTTGAGACTTGTTATCTAAGAAAAACAGTCTCTTTGGGTGGTTAAAACATTAAAATTGTAGAAGCATAAGAGACCCTTTTTGTCAGAAAAGCAGTCTCTTGTTTTAATAATTAAGACCTGTGTACTTAGAAAAGCAATCTCTTTTGTGGGTTCAAGAGAGACCAGTTTTGTTAGATATGTGGTCTCTTGCTACATTTTATTTTAAAAAAACATAATTTACAAAAACAAATATGCAATTTCAATTAATTTCGTTCAAAGAAAAATACATTAGACTTGTAACAATTACATATTAGATACTCGTAATTTATAGTATGTATTAGACAATTCATAGTACTAGGTACTATAATATATTAATCTGTAATCATATAAAAGAAAAAATTAACATTGAAAATAAACCATCATCCACTTGTTTCATTGGAGTGTTTCATCTTCTTCATCATCATCGGTTATCATCCTCGTCATCTTCATATCATCATCTCAAATAAAATTTAGCTCATAGATAAACCTATAATAACATCGAACAAGTGTTTCATCTTCTTCATCATCATCGGTTATCATCCTCGTCATCTTCATATCATCATCTCCATTAAAATTTAGCTCATAGATAAACCTATAATAACATCGAACAATAATAATAAGGTTAGATTCACACTAAACACAAGCCCAAAAAAAAAGAATTAAAGATTTACACTAAATAGAAATTACACGGAGTTAAAAAAAATCAAATTCATAATATTAACAATGTACAGATAAATAATGAAATTAAAAAGCAAAAACAGAAATAATTAACGAAAAATAAAATTCAGAAATTACCTAGTTTTTATAGTCACAAATTATACCAAAATTTACAATCGAAATAAAATAGAAAAAAATTAAAAAATTAAAAAAAAAAACCAAATATAAAACAAAATCAGAATAGAAATTTAAAATGAAAACTGTTTTTTTTTTTTTAAATGGATTGAAATATGAAAATTCAAAGGAAAAAAACGGAAAAATAAAAATTGAAGAATAAAAATCGAAAATGGAGAATATAGGATCTAAACAAAAATGAAAAATAGATCTAAATAATTACTTTAAAAAATTAGAATTGAAAACCAAAAGCAAACAACAAATTAGATGAATAAAACTTAATCAAAATTTAATGAAAACGATATTAGAAGAACATAAAATGAAAACAAAAAACATAAACTTAGAAAAAAAATAATCAGATCTCTAGTTTTGTAAAGAAGATAAAATAGTTAAGATCTAAAAAAAAACATACCAGGAATTTAAAATAGAGTATATAAATGACTTTTAAACCCAAAATTAAAACATTTCCCGTGAATGCATGCTCAAATGGAGATGGTGAAACCCACAAATCGAGAACTTCTGTAATCGAAACCTCGCCTTTGATTTTTTAGATTGTGAGAGGAGTAGAAATTATGATAATTACAATGATAAGATTGTGAGAGGTAGTAGATGGGAGATGATGGGAAATGGAGAACAATGAAAGGAAAAATATGGAGGAGAAAGTGAGGAGGCGAAGGGGGCAAATGAGAGGATTTTTTTCCAAAGTGAGTCTAACTACAAAACTATTTTGTAAAGTATACTTGTGGTCAAACTATTTACAAAACTAAGCTTCTAGGGTAAAACGCTATCTTGTACCCTGATTTTTTTAAAAGAAAAGTTCAAAGTGTAAAACGCTGACTGAGTTAGCGTTTTTAGTGTAATTTTATTTTTTTAAATCAGAAATTAAGTATTTTTTTAAAAAAATAAATTACACTAAAAACGCTGACTCGGTCAGCATTTTTAGTGTAAATTGTTTTTTTTAAAAAAATTCAGAAATTAAGAATTTTTTTTAAAAAAAATACACTAAAAACGATGACTTTTGTGTAACTTTTTTTTTAATAAAAAATTACGAAATTTAAAAAAAAAAAAAAAAACACCAAAAATGCTGACTCAGTCAGCGTTTTTGGTGTTAATTTTTTTTTTTTTATCAAAAATTACGAAATTTAAAAAAAAAGTCAACATGTAAAAAGGTTTTACACATTGAATTTTTTTTACAAAAACCCAGGTATAAAATGTTGTCCGAGACAGCGTTTTACCCTCGGAGCTTAGTTTGGTAAATAGTTTGGTAAATACTTTACAAAATAGTTTTATAATAGAGCTTACTTTGGAAAAAAAAATCCCAAATGAGAAGAGAGAGAAAGTAAAGAGGTAAAAAGTTACAGAATTAGGGTTTTGGAGGTTTAGTAAAAATTCTACAGAGACCTGTTAACTAACAAAATAGGTCCCTGCAAATTTTTGATTTAAAATAAATAGAAAAAAAATTCTCTAGAGATCTATTATCTACCCCACCAGTCTCAAATTGTTTTTTTTTATTAAAAAAAAATAAAAGAAAACAACAGAGACCAGTTAACTTAAATAACCGGTCTCTTAAGTTTTTTTACCAAGAAAAGAAATGAAATTGGAGACCTGTTATCAATGATAAATGATCTCTTGGACCAAAGAGACCCATTATATAGATAACAAATCTTTTATGTTGGGTCTCTTTGGCCAATTTTGGAGTAATGTGGAGTCGCCAAATTGTAGGCGTCATTCGAAGCGCGCCTACTTAAGCATGTGGTGAATATGCTTGGTACTCATAGGAAGTAGAAATTGACATTATACGATTAGGGACAAGGAAAGTAGGGAGCCGCCAACAAGTTTTTAAGCAACTTGTAAACCATTCACGGATCATATAAGGCAACCTTGATTAAGGGACAACGATAGGCAACAACGATTGACCCGTAAAGATTACACCCCATTCATAATCCATGAGATTACTAAATCTATATGGTTCGGAACCACGAAAGGCGGATCGGGGATAATGGTATGAAGTGAGTCATGGAGTCACATTCACCCGTATTGGCTTCTACTCGATTCTTATTGTGAAAAGTGATTCATGCGATCTCAAAGGCATACAAACAAAGATTTAATTTTCTCCAAACTAAATTAGGCTAAATTGGTTGAATATTAATGCAATACATACATAATTCTAGATATTAATGATCACTTTGATTAAACTTCAAGATTAAAAAAGAACCTAAATCGATCGTTCAAATTATCTTATTAGGCGTGATTTTCAATTACATATTCCCTTTAACATGCAATATGGTGGTCAAAAATATAAAAAATAAACATTAATAATGGAAGCAATTTAACCATAATAACGTTAGTCAAATCATCAAAAATATAATAATAAACCCTAACATGAACTAGCAACATTAAAAAGAAAAGGTAAGTAATTGAATGAATTACTCACGTTCCGCGCTTTTTTAAATTTCTACATCAAGAATAAAACGTTAGTACCTTCAAAGAAAAATAAATCAAATTGAAATTAAATTAAATTAAACTAGAGTTGATTTGGTCCAAACCCTCAATCGGTTATACCTTTCACGCCTTGGTTTAAGTATGGAATTTCGGGTGTTGTATGGACTCCTTGGAGTGCTTAGGGAAGGAATGGTTTAATTAGGAGCATAGTTTTAGGGCTTAGAATAAGAGAGAAAGAGGAATTACAATGTGTGTTGGTGCATAAGAGAGGAAGAGAGAATTATATGGTGCCCCGAAATTGTGAAATCAGCCTCGTATTTATAGAGAAAATGTGATGGGTGAGGTACGGAACCCTAGAAATGAGGTGCTGCAAAGATACAAACCTTAGAAATTGTCGTGTCGCGGAAAAATTGCCGTTGCACGCCAAAATTTGCCGTGGCACGGCAAACACCGCCGTGGCGCGGTAATTTCCAGTTTGTACGCATTTTTAAAACTATGATAACTTTTGATTTCGTAACTCGGAATAAGGCTTATAATATATCATTGGAAAGATCTTCAAGTGTTATTTCTAACCCAATTCGAATAAGGTCAAAGTCCTTTGTAGATTTTAAGATATGTCCGTTTTAGTGAAAGGGTGTTGGTTTTGGGCCGAGTTTTAGTGTTTTGATCATATCTTCTTCGTTTTAAATCAGAATTGGGCTTATGATATATCGTTGGAAAGATTATTTCAAGGCCTATCCAACCAATTAATAGTTGGATCAAAATTAATTGGGCCACAAAATCTGTTTAGCTCGGTTTTGTGATGTGGACACGATAAGAGGAAAATAAGTTATGGTTTAGGGAAATGGGCTAAGAATTGGGTTCGTTTATGAAACGTATTGGATTAAATATGGACTTAAGCACTCCAAAGATTAAATACTCAACTCGACCAATAATGGATGTGAAAGGTTGATCATCATCGCGTTTGGTTTTGGGGAGACATCTTTAGGTGTCTATACAAACCGATCTAATATTTCACAAATTTTCCAACACTTACAACTTCACTCTTACATTACAGAACATAAGTGAAACAAAAAAACTTTGAACTCTTTTTTCATTGAAATTGATTTTTTTCTTTTTATTTTTTTTCTTCTTTGAAACCTTTTTTTCTTTTGTCTTTCGAGCAACCTTCAATTAGAACACTTGAATATTGAAACAAACTTTTCTTTTACTCTATTTTTTCTTTTTTTCTCACATTAGAATTTTTTCAACTTTTGAAAACCTATTCAATTTTTTCCCATCCACAAAATAAGAACAAACAAATAACTTATCAAATCCACAAAAATTGTGCAAATTATGTGCACACTACAATACCCTCACCTCACTCACTATTAGCTCCTTCATGCCGAGCTTTGGACTAGTAACCAATGGTTCTTAAATAGGCTTGTAATGTTGCTAAATAAACAATAAAATGGCACAGGAAACAACATGCATAGCAAGAAAGGAACATATATATATATCTTATATCGTCTCAAGACCACTCAAAAGAACAAATGCCTTCGTCCTCCTCAATGTGCATAATAATGAGCCATATAAACATTAAAAAAATCAATATTCAACTTCATTGACATGCCAGGAACTAACAAACAATTCCTAATCAAATCACTAGTCAAGCACTATATTCACATGTAGTTAGACAAAATTAACGCATGTTAAGGTTTCAAGGCAATCAAACATCAAATCATGACTAACTAATCCACAATGTTTATCATCATATACCAAAAATCAAAAAAAATTTCAGATAATTTCATCAGAGGGCACAAGGAAGCATGATTTATCTTTCATTTGAACGTATTTTTGTATTTTTTTTTTTGTATTTTTTTAAAGCAATAAATCTATCCTAAGAAAGCAATAAAAGGAGAAAGGAGAGAAAAAATACCATATATACAAGAACATCTCCCCTAAGCCAAATCAAGCAATGTCCTCATGAACTTGGGAGTGTAGCCATAAGTAGCTACTCATCATCCTCCTCATCCATCCAAGCATCTCCACTCCCGCCTCTAGGGTTGTTCATCGGTCCAAAACCAGACTAGACCGGCTCGGAACCGAAATGGACTAGGACCTGAATCCCTGTTTTTGGAGGCTCGAGAACCGGACCTAAACATCCGGTCCGGTCCCGGTCCATAGCAGAAAAATCAGGTTGGGTTTGATTTTGGGCCTAATGCATTTTTTTTTATTTTTAATTTTATACTCTAAAAAAAAACAGTTTGAAATTTTTTTTAAGGAAAAACTCATATTAACAAAATTCAAATAATAATTACATTGATATTTAACCCTCTATCAATTTCAGATTCAACAAAGAAATTAAAAAATTAAAATTAGAGCAGCAAAAGCAGGCACTACAATGTATAGAAGAACCGCAACCACCAGATCTACCACCTTCAAAGTAGGTGGTCCCATAGGAAGGTCGGTGTAGATCGTGAGGAGAGTAAGAGGTCGAACGATGTGCGATTGGGTGGTTGTGGTCGCTGGAGTTGCGCGACCTAGTGGCCGCAGTCGCTGGAGTCGCGAGATCTGGTGGTCGTGGTCTCTAGTGTTGCGCGAGGTTGTTGGCTTGCTGCGGACCTACAGTTCGTCGATGTCTTCGTGGTGGTCAGTTGGTCACCAATGACTTGGTGAGGAGAGAGAAGGTCAGAGTGAGAGTAATGAGACCATGGGAGAGAGAGGCGAAGATTGAGAGTGAGAATTAAGGTTGAAATTTTAGGATAATATTTACGGCTATTTCATAAAATGCCACTGAATACTTAAAAAAATCACCAAATGTCATCGTGTTTTTTAGAATTCACCAAATGCCACTGAGGTTTAGTATAATATCACCAAATGCTATTTTCGTTAGTTGACCGTCACTTTTCGTTAGTTGACTTTACCACTTGTCACGTGTCACCTTCTGATTGGTCCGTTTTTAAAAAAAAATTATACAAAAATAAAAAAAAAAATAAAAAAAAAATAATAATAATAAAAAAAAAAACCCCAAACCCCAGCCACCACCCCAGCAGCCACCAGCCTAGCCATCCCTTACCGCCAAAGCCAGCACCAGAAGGCGCGCCGGCGGCCGGCGGATCCCCATCCCCACCCCTTCCCCTCCCCTTTCCCAGTCGCGCCACCCACCCTAGCTCAAACCCCTAACCCGCGAAACCCTACCCCCTTCATCCACCACCCCGAAACCCCACCCCCCTTCCTCCACCACCCTGAAACCCCCCCCCCCCTTCCTCTCCCTTTTTGATTTTCAGCCACCCCACCCAAAACACCCTTCCCCCCCCCTTTCGTTTCCGGCCACCCACCCACACAACACGAAACCCCTTTTTG